ATGGGACCTCCTGGGCACCTTTGGAGGCCAGGCCAACATGTCCTGAGTTGGTCCATGGTCCCTGAGGCTAACTTGATTTGGAAGTTGTATTTGGGGGGCTGTTGGGAGGCCCTTGGAGCTCTGCATGGCGTCACTGGCCATGAGGTATGGCCTCTGAACTGTGGGACGTTGTCTGAGGGCTCTGGACTGAGTCTGAATCTGGTGACTGGAAGGAGAGGCCTGTGACTCTCCAGAGGTTGTTGGGAGTCACTGGGCCAAAGATGAAATTTGTGTGTACTTGAGAGGTTGTCTGGGGTCTTAGGATCCAGCTTGGGCTGAGAGTGAGAGTTGCCAAGGTTGAAATCCCAATGGGAAGTTGTCAATGGCCATTGCACCCAGGCTGTGCTAAGAACATGTGGCTGCAAGGCTTTTGGCGGAGGTTGCTGGACTCCAGGTTGAGGCACAGATTTTTCCAGTATTGGGTCCAGGTTAGACAGCCTGACCAGGTTAGGCCCAAGGTCTTCAGGAGGTTCTTGAGGAGGGAGTTTCTGAATCTCAGAGGTTGTTTGCCCTCTGTGGACTATTATTGCTGTGTGACTCTAGAAAAAAACAGGATTGGTTCATGTTAGGCCTTTGGGTCCACTCTCTCCCAAACTCTGGTCATTCCAAAAAGGTATGTGAGAACAGGCAGTGAGAATAGGGCCAGATGCATAGGGAAGATGGACGTTATACTGGAGCACAGGAAGAGGTGTGTGAGATATCCTGCTCCTTAAGAAATCACCCAGGTTGTCTTTACAGAAAATCTTTTATTCTTATGGGACAGGGTGTTGATATCTAATTTCACTCAGCTGTTCAAATTATACATGGTATTAGAGCTTTCAGAGTGCTTTCATGTACACCCAGAGTTCTTAAACCTTGGATGGGGGATACAAGGGAGTGGTCTATGAGTAGATTTCAAGGGGTTTTGAGCTCTTGGAAATCATAAGAAAAACTGTATGCATTTTGTTTGGAGAGGAGCATGCAAAGCAGCCACAAGGATAAACAAGGAGTATTTAACCTGTCCAAGGACTGGCTTCAGTCTGTGAATCCCTTATCATTCACATATACAATGATATGAGTATCTATAATTTTCTGATGTAAAGAGTTGATTCCATGGCTTAAAATTTTAAAAAGGATGGTAATCCCCTTAACCTATGACATTAAGAACCACTGGAATTAAGCAGGTTCCTGTATTACCTGTGGGGCCTAGGCCAGACTAGAAATGAAGATTCCCCTTTTCTTCCCACACCTGGTGTTGGCACACATTTCAAGACATATTAGTCTGCATGTCTGAGCTCAGTCTACCGGCCCTTCACACAAAACCAAGGCCTGGAGTGTGTACATCGGTCATACAGTTCATCCTCCTGAGTATAGACCTGGGGTTAAGGGCTGTGTAGGTCCTGGAAATGGGCCATTTAGGAGAGGAAGTCCAGGGTTCTAAGCTCCCAAAGCACAGCCTAGAACTGGGGGACACATGTTCCAGGTAGGCCTTTCCTAGATGCCCTTGGATCCTTGGCCCAAGGTGGGGGGACACAGCCAGAGGGGGTCAGAGTGGGTTTAATGCAATACTGGCATTCAGTACTGGTCTTGAAAACAGCCCCTCTGAGCAAATTGAGGATCTCAGAAGAGTTAGCCCCATATTAGGCTGGAGAAAAAGGCCACCCACAGAGAAGATGCAGTGGAACCTAAACTTTTTTTTTTAACTTCTAGTCTAGTTCTTTTTCCACTTGATTCACAAAAGATATGCTAGGATAAGGTCTCTATGACCTAGGTGCAGTTCACATGGCTATAATTACACTGGTTCTTGAGTTACATGAAACATAGATTTAAGGGAAGAAAGAGACTAATTTACTCCGCGTTGTCTCTTCTCTGGTATGTGTTGGATGTACTTAACTAGAAAGAGTGGGCATTTGAAAGTTTATGTAAGATTTGGATAATTGGCCTTCATCTGCATAAAATACTGTGGGGGAATTTAACCACCTTAAATTTTTTTTTTAAGATTTTATTTATTTATTTGACAGAGATCACAAGTAGGCAGAGAGGCAGGCAGAAGGAGAGAGAGGGGGAAGCAGGCTCCCCGCTGAGCAGAGAGCCTGATGCGGGGCTCGATCCCAGGACCCTGGGATCATGACCCGAGCTGAAAGCAGAGGCTCAACCCGCTGAGCCACCCAGGCGCCCCTAACCACCTTAATTTGAAGAAAGAGATGTGTTCCTGGAAAAAGGGAAAGTTCATATAATTTTTCTAAGTTGAATCTTGTTTAACTTGGCTTTGGAATACTTAGTATTTAAAATAAGTGCGATAAAGGGAAAATATTTTTCATAAAACAAATAATCATGTCTCCAATTAGCCTATTCTGATGGTTTAGTTTTAATTATATTTAAAGAGAATCCATACTTGTATTGCTGTGTTGAATTTTTATATCAAGCCAGGTTGTACCTACAGGGGCATATGAAGGAGCATGCCTATCATTTATTATTGAAGGTCATGACTATCAATTAGAATTTATTATTGAATTAGAATTAGAAATTATTATTGAAGGTCATGCCTATCAACTAGAATTTAAAAATAGCAGACTTTAAACTTTATTTAATAATATGAGTATTGGGACTGAGAGGCAAAAATCATACCTTTTTTTCCCCACATACGTTCTTCCGGTTATGTCTCACCTAATCTCTCCTACCCACTCTACCCTATCCCAGGATGCAGGTTGTGTCCTCAGAACCAATGGTTTCCTGGGTCCACCCCAGTAGACAACTGCAGGGGATTCCTACAGAGTCAGCCTGGGAAGTAGAAGGTGGACAAGGTTTTTGAGATTGTGATGGGAGACTTTTCAAGAATAGAGTTATCATTTTCCCTACCCTTCCAAGTCAAAGTACTATTTGCTCGTGCTTCTGCTGTCACTACTCAATGCAAGATGGTTTGGGCTGTGTAGTCAAGAACATAGGGAGAGAGAAGGGCCTAGAGTGGCACCAGCCTGAGGGCTGAGGCTAGAGGTCCCTGGAGATACCTCTAAGGGGTGGTCTTTAAAAGGATATCCTTAAGTGGGGTAGACACCAGGTAGGAGGCAAAATGGGGTTTCCCATTCTTGGGGGCTTTTGTTCACTGAATGGGGAGTCCCCTTGCCCTTCTCCTCCCTATTAGGTTTCCTGAAAGCCTGCAGACACTCCCTGTCAACTATACTTGGCTTATAGAGGATGCTGCCCTTTTAGCACAATCTCTAACATTCTTGATCATCAATGAGCAAATCCTACCAGTGGGGAAGCTGAGTCACAGGCACATAAAGTAGGGCTGCGAGGCAAGGCCACTGGGTGATGCTGTAATCTTCCAGACCCCTATACCTTTTCTTCTGCACTTGGGGTTTCTCTCTCATGGTTTTCCCCACTTATTCCATATCTTCAGGGCTGTATTACTGTGTTGAGGAACGTTTTTCTCTGTATACCTACATATCAGGACTTGGTGCTTTTATATGTCCAGGCCAAGTGTCTTTTATATGGGTGTTTAATGAGTCCCTGGGTGTGGTGGTATGAGGAGTTAGAAAGCTCAGAAATGGAAAATATTTAACGTTTAGAGTAGCACATGAATACAACCTGTCCATTTGCATTTTCCCTTTCGCTCTGAGTCATCTTCCCCTCTCCCCACCCTATGATTGCCCCTCCACCAGCCCCACCCACTGGCACACCCTGTCTGATCTAGGAAGGGTTAACATCTGTGTATACCCAAGCTAGAATGAGAGGTAGACGGGGAAGGCATGTTAGGTCTGGAGGGAGAAAGCAGAAGGCTGTCTGAACATTTCGGGGTCCTGGAGCCAAAGGGAGAAATGGGAGTTTAGGGACATAATATTTGGGTCTAGGAGGGGACTAGTATCTAAGGGAGAAAAAGCCTAGGGTGAACCAGACTTTGTCAGGTCACCAGAGCAGCCTACCAATGCCTAATTTGTTTATCTTCCAGTTACTTATTGGGCATATATGATATACCAGGCACATGTCACAAGTGATTTATCTACGTTTGTTGAATGAATAAAAAAGCCACAGGATGAGGGATAACGGAATAATAAAAAAAACAGAAAAAGAAATTTGAGTCTCTCAGACCTCATCCTTTCCCCAGGTTAACGAGTACTAAAGTGTGAAAACAGGGGAAATCTCCTGAGAGCTTGACCCTTTTGACAGGAAGTGAAAGAAACCCCAGAGTTCTGATTTCAGAGAAATGTCATTTGTCATCAACCCAAGAAAAGGGAGTTTTCTCTTCGAAGACCACCGCGGGCCCTTCCTGGGGTTGCCCCCTTCAGAAGTTGATGGGAGAATCTGAGTCATTTGTACATTCAGTCCCCATTGGTGGCCCAGATGACAGGGGTCATTTCCACAGAGCAGTCAGGCTTCCTAGTACTAAAAGTCAGGGAGAGGAAGGACAAGGCATGCTTTTGGCCCTCCTTCACTCTCTCCTTGGAATCCTGATGTTTCAGTCCTTTTTACTTCTGAAGTAGTAGAAACAGCTTCTAGCTGCTAGAGCTGACAGTTCTCAGAACTAATCCTATTTGAACGATGCTACTGTACTGACAGACCACTTTCACATTCATCATGTCACTTCATCTTCACCCTCACCTCCAAATGAGATAAGCAAAGGTTATCCCTATTTCATGGATGAGGTAACTGAGGCTCAGAGAGGTGACTTGCCTAACGTGACTCAACTAGTAAACAGCAGAGATGAGACTCGAATGTGGGTCTAATTATTCCAAGGTTCTTGCTGCGAGATGAACTTTTTTAAAAAAGATTTTTATTTATTTATTTGAGAGAGCAGGCAGAGAGTGCGAGACAGCTCATGAGAGGGGAAGGGGCAGAGGGAGAGGGAAAAGCAGACTCCTAGCTGAGCATGGAGCTTGATGCATCGTGCGGCTCGATCTCAGGACCCTGAGATGACGATCTGAGCCGAAGGTGGACGCTTAACTGACTGAGCCACCCAGGCACCCCTTGATTTTTATTCTTTTTAAGTAATCTCTACACCCAGCATGGGGCTCGAACCTACAACCCCAAGATCAAGAGTTGCATGCTCTACAAACAAAGCCAGCCAGGCACCCCCTCACATGAATTTCTTTGACTCTAGAAGTTCACAAATGAAATAAGGAGACAAGGGAGGAAGAATGTCTTGAATCTGGAAGTAGAGGAGGTGGTCTTTCTTAGAGGGGTAAAGCAGAGCCAGGGGTATAAAGCCACACCCCCTTAGGGGGACTGTGGCAGACTGATACTTGGGACACCCAATGGAAGACTGTGAGGTCAGGGGCGGGGCTAGCTCCAGGGGGGGGGCCAGGAGCCCCAACAGCAGTTCAGAGCATGCGGTGTCCAGGAGGAAGCTACAACCGGTGAGTGGTTGCTTCTCCCCAGCTGAGACTTTCCTCCCACTACACCCTGCTTTTTGTCCCCTTCCTACCAACCTGTAGCCTTCTCCCTGAGGTGTCCAAGTAGTAATCCTCCCCACAAGGGTCCTTACTCATGGTGAGTCCACACTGAGGAATATCCCTACCAGGCACTGAGACACTTAGATCTGTCTCTTAGTATCTGGGTTCCCAGTTCTCTTCTTAAAAGCCAGTGTGGTAGTTTTGATATGTGATGAATTTCTGCCTCATTGGCTCTTTCTATTTGTTGCTTTGGGCTTATGAAAAACAAAATCACCCCATCTCCTTATCCTAAAATCTGGAAAGAAAATAGCCTCCCTCTATACAGATCCCATTTTCCTTTCTCCTGCTTCTTCAGGGGTCAAAACTTTCTCCAAAATCTCTCCATCCTTGATCGGAACCTTGTCTTCTGTGGCTTCTGCTCTCTCAACCCACTGGATGGGACTCTCTTCTCGGTCCTTCTCTGAGGACATGTTCTAGAAGTTTCAGCCATAGGGAGATAATCAACTGATGCTGCCTTGCAGCAATGACCTCAGTCTTACTGTCCTTTCTGCCTCTCAAGGCTACTCAGCTCCATGTGATGGGGTGAAGGTGGGGTTGGGGGGTCACACTAGTTTTCAAAACTCTCCCATGAAGCTGTGTCTTGCTCCATCCCTAACTGCCAGGGCTGACTGGGTCTTACGGTGATTTCTTTGTCTGGAAAGAAGAAAGCCTGGCCTGCTCCAAGGTCTTTCCTTGTAGAAGGGCTTAGAGTAGCAGAAGTATCGGCATCTGCTCTTTTTTAAGTAGAGACTGCCAATTGGCAGGGCCCATCTATACTAGCCTTAAACCCACTATTTGATATAGTCACTAACTGCCTGGTCCGTACTCTTTAAGTCCTGAATATGGTCTAATTTCCATTCTCCTGCCAACCCCCTCCTCACCCATACCCTGTGGTCCATTATGATTCTGGATAAGCTCAGGTCCTCTCTTGGGTTAGTTTATTTGTTGCATTCAGGGCACAAAGAACTCTGAACCAGCAACTCACTCTTTCTCCCCTCACCTCCACAGGCTTGAGAATATGCTGTTCCTCTCTCCCCTTTCCATCATGGACCCCACACTGTGGCCTTTCTTTCAGGTCCTCTGAGACTGGTACCCAGGCAAGGCACAATGCCCCTGTTCCCGACGACAAGACTGCTTAGCCCCTATGGCTCTGATCGGCTGGTACGGCTAGCAGCCAGGCTCCGGCCAGCACTGTGTGATACCTTGATCACTGTGGAAAGCCAAGAATTCCCTGCCCACAGCCTGGTCTTGGCAGGTGTGAGCCAGCAGCTGGGCCGCAGGGGCCGCTGGGCTCTGAAGAAAGGCATCAGCCCTTCTACCTTTGCCCAGCTTCTGTACTTTGTTTATGGGGAGAGTGTAGAACTGCAGCCTGGGGAACTGGGACCCCTTGAGGAAGCGGCCAGAGCCCTGGGGGTGCAGTCTCTGGAAGAGGCATGCAGGAAGGCTCGACGGGACAGGGCTAGAGAACTAGGTCCAGGGCTCAAGGAACATCAGGAGGAGCCAGAGAAACCCACAAAGGATTCTGAGAGCGGACTGGAGGGACATGGAGAGCAGAGACCAGAGACATTTGTTAGAGCTCGTTGGAGAGAACAAGAGGCACTGCATGAGCAAAGGCCACCAAAAGACAGCTCTGAGAGAGCAGAGGCAATGAAGGAGGGTGTGGAAAAACTTAAGCAATCCCCTAATGGCCATGCAGGAACAGATGGGAAGCAAGACGGGATTATGTGGGTGACAGAGAGTCCAGGGGGCTCTGAGGAAGGTCTGCGGGAGTTCTCTGGCCCCCTTCCCCCACCAGGTTCCCTCCAAACAAGCGTCATTCCTAGGCCCTGGTGGGCTGAGGCCCCTTGGTTGGGGGAGGGCCAGCCCGCCCTGTGGAGCATCCTGCTGTTGCCACCCAGATATGGCACTCCCTTCTCCCATAGCACCCCCATCACTGGAGCCTGGCAGGAGGTCTGGCCTCGGGACCAGAGGTGAGTGAAGAGCCTAATGGAAGACCTCCCTGGCTGGGAGGGAGTGGCTCAGGACAGGCAGCAGTGATGGGTAGAAAGGCACCACATCTCTTATCTCTACTGTACATTTCCTGAGCTGGTGATAGGACAAGAAGCTTCCACCACAGGGGAATTCAAAGCCCAGCCCCTGAGGAGGACTCATGACATCTCCCTCTCCAGGAAGGTCCTGGCCAGGATCCCAGGTTTTGCCAAGGCTAACTCTTCCCCACCCCCTCCCCAGGATTCCATTGTCCCTGAACCCTGAGAAAGATCTCTGGAACCAGAACCAGTTGGCCAACTCCAGTCCTGCTGCAGGTAAGCCCCGAAGTACCCTGTACAAATGCTGTAACATGGTCTCTCTCTCCTTAGGCTGGGACTCCAGGAGTCCAGCCTGAGGAGAGCACCTCCTTCACTCTGCTCCCTCCAGGTTTCCTCCCCCAGGGCCCCACAAGGCTCAGCCCTGGGGAGATGAAAGAGTCTGATCAGAGGCACACAGGTGAGTAGGGTGAGGGCGATTTTGCCTCAGCCCCACTGTAGCTCCCAAAGTCTTGTCTGGGAGTACCAGTGGTCCAGTTCTGGGATTCCCAGCCCTGCTTTCTTTGCCTTCTCTAACCCCAACAGGTGCACTTGCAACCTGTGTGGGTCATGTGAGTAGAGCAGGCCCATCTCGCCAACAACCTCCCCCACCCCCACCTGCTCGGTCTCGGCCCTATTCTTGTTCTGTCTGTGGAAAAAGGTTCTCACTCAAGCATCAGATGGAGACGCACTACCGAGTCCACACAGGTATGGGCTCCCCACCCGGTGCAATTATCTGCTCCCTTCCAAACTCTGGTCTGTCTGCTCCTGAGTCCTCTGTGTGCTTGACTCCAACACAGTTCCTTTGCTCAGTCGCCCAGATCAACCCCTACACCAGCCTTCACCCACTTCTTTCCTTTACCGGCCTCCCCCTCCACCTGCCCTAGGAGAGAAGCCCTTCTCCTGTAGCCTCTGCCCCCAGCGCTCCCGGGACTTCTCAGCCATGACCAAGCACCTGCGGACGCATGGGGCCGCACCATACCGCTGCCCTCTGTGCCAGGCCGGCTGCCCCAGCCTGGCCTCCATGCAGGCGCACATGCGCGGCCACTCGCCCAGCCAGCTCCCACCTGGATGGACCATTCGCTCCACCTTCCTCTACTCCTCTTCTTCGAGGCCGTCCCGGGCCTCGACCTCTCCCTGTAGGTCCCCTTCCTCAACCACCTGATGGTGTTGGTAGCTTCTTTGGCTTCAGCTGACAATACAATTAAAGAATGAAAGACGGGCCGACGAGCTGGCTAGGTTTCTGACCCAGCACCACAGCTATTGGCAGCCTGGAAAATCCGGCTCCAAGAAGCGCCGCAGAAAAGGCGCTGCAAGCCTTCTTCCAGATGACCACGGGCCCCAGAAGCCTGGGCCAGCGAGCCCGTGTGGGGTGCGGGCAGTGAAGTTTGCACGAGTGAAAATTGTGCGGGGACTAGCGATTCCATCATCAAAATAAAGAGTTTCCTGTGCCCTCCTCTCAGGACCAGAAGCAGAGTCCACTTTAGTCTGTGAGCTGGGGAGAGGGAAGGAAGGGCAACCTTGCCCCTTGTCCTGTGGCGGCCCCTGCTGGCGGTGCTTCCACTGTTCAGCGCGGGGGGCCACCTTCATCTCCGGTTGTCCGTTCTCCCCCAGAGGTAGCGGCCCGCGAGGGCCACGAAGTCCAGGCTGACTTAGCAGGGAGCCCTGTTGGCGGAGGCTGTGAGAAACCAAGTTATTAGCCCCTTTCACAGCAAACAACGGTGCGCAGAATATGAGTCTGGGACCCCCAGCCCGGGGCTCCAGGAACGCGTGCTCCACCCTCCTCCTCTCCTTGAGCACAAGGACCGCAAAGCTGCGGCCTCTCGAGCATTCCCTCCATGCTGTGCAGAACGGCAGCCGGGTGGCGCCTCCAACTGAGACTAATCCTCTGCGGCGGCCCTTTCCCACCCGACGCCTCCTGCAGTCGCGAACTTCATTTCCCAGTGTCTCTGGGATTCCCAGGATCCGAAGCCCAGAGCACCCTGGGAGTGGTAGTTCATGCATACCCTGGTCTCGAGAGGAACAATGGGAAGAGTTTGGGGGCGAGAACCACACCTCCCGGCAGCCCGGGAGATGGTTTTCTGGGTCCGATTAGGACCTAGTCCCAGCTCTCGCGGCCCTAGCTCCCGGCGGAAGAAGCGAGGCGCCTGGACTACATTTCCCTGAGTTCCCTGCGCCTCATCCCCCTCCGGTCGCCACACAGGGTCTGTGCTCTTCAGGCGCGGTCTAAGGGTGACTGCCGACTGGCCTCGGACTCCCGCTCCCGTGGTGCCCCGCGCGTGGCCGGCCCAGCCCCCGGCTCCCGCTGGCCCCGCGGCGGCGCTGGTTGCTGTCGTGAGCCGCAGCCGCCCCGCCCCACCTCTCCCTCCCACCCCCCCCTCCCGGCCCTGCGCACGGGCCGCCCCTCCCCCCGCCTCCCCGGCCCCTCTCACGGTGCCAAGATGGCGGCGGCGGCGGGCGGCGGCAGTTGCCCCGGGCCTGGCTCCGCGCGGGGCCGCTTCCCGGGCCGGCCGCGGGGCTCCGGCGGGGGCGGGGGCCGCGGCGGACGGGGCAGCGGAGCCGAGAGAGTGCGGGTAGCTCTGCGGCGCGGAGGCGGCGCGGGGGGGCCGGGCGGAGCCGAGCCCGGGGAGGACACGGCCCTGCTCCGTTTGCTGGGGCTCCGCCGGGGCCTGCGCCGGCTCCGCCGCCTGTGGGCCGGCCCGCGCATTCAGCGGGGCCGGGGCCGGGGCCGGGGCCGGGGCTGGGGCCCAAGCCGTGGCTGCGTGCCGGAGGAGGAGAGCAGTGACGAGGAATCCGACGATGAGGTGAGGCAGTCGGAGGCGTCCCCAACGCCGGGCGGGGCGGAGGCCGGGGGCTTCCAAGGGTCTGGGTGGCCCCGAGGGGTGGAGTGGGGAAGCGAGGTTCTCAGGGCCCCTGCGGAGGGAAGGGGCCCTGGAAACAGGCCTGGGAGTAGATAGGCTGCACGGAGCTGTCGGTGAAAAAGGCCTATGAAAGTATATAGGGAAGCCCGGGCTGCAGCTGGGTACTTGGGCCTGAGGCACGTCCTGCAGAAGTGTCCTGGGCTGATGATCTTGGTAGTTGGCAAAGCTGTTGCAGTAGAGCTTTGAGCGAAAAGGCTATGGATACTGCATGCCCAGCCACTGGTGGTTGACAGCAGCAGCGTGGCTTTAGTGGACCCAGGCTGGGGCTCTCTGGGCTCTTACCTGTAGGCTGCTTCACCTGGCCTCATAATCTCTGACACATCCCAGATTCACCAGTTCTCCGATTCCTCTTAAAGTGGAGAGACGGTAGCATGTTGGAGGGCTTCCTCTTGGGGGCACAGGTTGAAGAAAAATGGAATAAAGGCTGAGACTGGGAACTCTGGCAGGTTCGAGTTCAGCTCAGGATTTATCCTCAGCCTCAGAAAAGTCAGGAGGGTGTGGATTGTATTATTTAAACAGTTTGTAGTCACCTCAGGGCTCAGAGTAGAGCTTATTATGGTAAACCATTTGAAACACACACACAGACACATACACACTCTATTTGAGTGCCCCTATTCCCATCTTCATTCAGGAGGAAACTGCAACCTGAGAGTGTGTAAACAGTAGTCCCACCTTTTTGAGTTGGAGGATGAGGGAGTCTGAGCGTAGTGTCTACTGCCTGGCCTGAGAACACCCAGTTCTGTTCCCTTCCGGGTCAGCGAACCACTGACAGCTGTGCTGGTGTAGTCCGGTATACGGGATGGGGGTTCGAAATACCCTGTGCCTCCAACCCTAGGGAGAGACTCTTTTGTAGTCATTTTATCTTCCAGTCTTAAGTTTTTCTCTAAATAGATAGGGGTATGTTAAGGGGGAAACTGGGGCTATACCTCCATACCTGAATCTCCGGTGGAACGAGGGCTTTGGCACTGACTGCTGTTTCTCCCCTCCACCCCTGGTCCCCTAAATCAGGAGTTTCAGGGTTTTCATTCAGATGAAGATGTGGCCCCCAGTTCCCTGCGCTCTGCGCTCCGATCCCAGCGAGGTGAGTGATGGGGAAACTCTACCTCTGTAGCTTTACAGGAATGTTATTCTTGCTCTTCATGTTAGCTCTTCCCTGTTTAACTAGAGTCTCCATCAGCTACATAGCGTGTTCTGTGTTCAAAGCCCAAGCTAGGCTGGGTTGTGGGGGAAAGAGACAAGGAAGACTTAGTCCTTGCCCTCCTGGAGTGCCTTCTTCAGTCTGCAGGGCTAGCTTGACCCATCTCCCCACACCTATTCTCCTTTTAGGTCGAGCCCCCCGAGGTCGGGGCCGCAAGCATAAGACGACCCCCATTCCGCCTCCTCGCCTAGCAGATGTCGCTCCTACCCCCCCAAAGACTCCTGCTCGGAAACGGGGTGAGGAGGGCACAGAACGGATGGTGCAGGCACTGACTGAACTTCTCCGGCGGGCCCAGGCACCCCCAGCCCCGCGGAGCCGGGCATGTGAGCCCTCTACTCCACGTCGGTCTCGGGGACGGCCCCCAGGACGGCCAGCAGGCCCCTGCAGGAAGAAGCAACAAGCAGTAGTGGTGGCAGAAGCAGCTGTGACAATCCCCAAACCTGAGCCCCCACCTCCTGTGGTTCCTGTAAAACACCGAACTGGCAGCTGGAAGTGCAAGGAGGGGCCTGGCCCAGGACCTGGGACCCCCAAGCGTGGAGGACAGTCTGGGCGAGGAGGCCGTGGAGGTAGAGGCCGAGGCCGAGGCGGGCTCCCTCTCGTAATCAAGTTTGTTTCAAAGGCCAAAAAAGTGAAGATGGGACAGTTGTCCTTGGGACTTGAATCAGGTCAGGGTCAGGATCAACATGAAGAAAGCTGGCAGGATGCCCCCCAAGCAAAAGTTGGATCTGGACAGGGAGAGGGCCCTTGCTGGAGAAAAGAGCAAAAGCTGGAGGAAGAGGGAGAGGAGGAGACAGAAGAAGAGAAAGACAAGGAAGAGAGAGAGGAGAAGGTAGAGAGAGCTGGACCTGAAGAAGAGATGATGCTAGCAGAGGAAAAGGAAGAGGCAAAGCTGCCATCTCCACCCTCGACTCCTCCAGCCCCTCCAGCTCCTCCACCTGCTCCATCTCCTCCACCTCCTCCACCTCCCCCACCACCTCCACCCCTCCCACCCCCCTCCACTTCTCCTTCATCCCCAGTTTGCCCTCCACCACCTCCAGTGTCCCCTCTGCCCCCACCATCGCCTCCACCGCCTCCTGCCCCAGAGGAGCAGGAAGAATCCCCTCCTCCAGTGGTACCAGCTACATGCTCCAGGAAGAGGGGCCGGCCTCCCCTGACCCCCAGCCAGCGGGCAGAGCGGGAAGCTGCTCGGGCAGTGCCGGAGGCTACCTCTCCTCCCACTCCAACCCCCAGCACCACCACGGGGGGCCCTCTGGAAGACAGCCCCACTGTGGCCCCCAAAAGTACCACCTTCCTGAAGAATATCCGGCAGTTTATTATGCCCGTGGTGAGTGCCCGCTCCTCCCGAGTCATCAAGACACCCCGGCGATTTATGGACGAAGACCCCCCCAAACCCTTAAAGGTAGAAGTCTCACCTGTTCTGCGGCCTCCTGTTGCCACCTCCCCACTTGCCCCCCCAGAACCAGCACCAGCTCCCTCTCCACCGCGTGCCCCAACCCCCCCATCTACCCCAGTCCCACTCCCTGAGAAGAGACGGTCCATTCTAAGGGAACCCACATTTCGCTGGACCTCGCTGACCCGGGAACTGCCCCCTCCTCCTCCTGCCCCCCCACCGGCCCCACCCCCACCTCCTGCCCCTGTCACTCCATCACGGAGGCCCCTGCTCCTTCGGGCACCTCAGTTTACACCAAGTGAAGCCCACTTGAAGATCTACGAATCGGTGCTTACTACTACTCTTGGGGCCCCGGAAGCCCCTGAGCCAGAGCCTCCTCCTGCCGACGACTCTCCAGCTGAGCCTGAGCCACGGGCAGTGGGCCGCACCAACCACCTCAGCCTGCCTCGATTTGCCCCCGTGGTCTCCACTCCTGTTAAGGCCGAGGCGCCCCTTCCTGGGGCTCCATCTCTGAGCAATGGGCAGCAATCTCAGGCTCAGCCACAGCAGCCCCTCCAGGCCTTGCCAAGCCAGCTGCTGCCCCAGGCACTACCACCACAGCAGCCCCAACTACAGGCGCACTTACAGCTGCAGCCACAGCCACCGCCACAGCAGCTGTCACCACTGGAAAAGGCTCGTACTGCGGGCTTGGGTTCCTTACCACTGTCTGGTGTGGAGGAGAAAATGTTCAGCCTCCTCAAGAGAGCCAAGGTGCAGCTGTTCAAGATCGATCAGCAGCAGCAGCAGCAAAAGGTGGCGTCTTTGATGCCGGTGAGCATGGCACTTTGGCCAGGTTTCTGCACTCAGTCATCTGGCCTCAGTTCTCTCCATTCTCTCAGTTTTCGGTCACCTCCTGCCTCCTCAGACCCCCTCCAGTATTGCAGGGGACCCTCAGAGCCAGTCCTTCCCTGCTTCTCAGCTGCCTGTGTTCCTTCCCTGGCCTGCCCCGATGCTCATCCCCTGGCCCTATTTTTCCTCACTTTCCAGCCTCTGACCCTGTTTATTTCCCCACCAGCCGAGCCCTGGAGGGCAGATGGAGGAAGTCGTGGGGACTGTCAAGCAGATCTCGGATAGAGGTTCTGTCAAGTCTGAAGATGAATCGATGGAAACTAAGAGAGAGAGGCCGTCGGTATGGAGTGGGAGCAGAGCCCTCTG